GAATGACGTGCTGAAGGTAGACGCGGAGCCTATCCCAAGGATTGATGTCACCTTTGCTAACGTGGGACGAAAGAGGTTCTTTTCGAAATTAGACTTATCGAGGGGATACTGGCAGATCCCGTTGGAGGAGTCGGCCAAAGAGAAAACTGCATTCTCTTCAGGAAGTGGACACTACCAATTCAGGTTTATGCCGTTCGGGCTTAAGACTGCCTCGGCTATCTTTACAAGACTGATGAGGAAGCTACTTGGTGGAATCGCTGACGCTCATCACTATATTGACGACATCCTGATAGCATCAGACTCATGGGCACAGCACATGGAAACTCTGAGAACAGTTTTCGATCGTCTGCAAGCCGCTAACATCACAGCGCGACCAAAGAAGTGTGAGGTGGGGTTCACCGAGACGGTCTTCCTCGGGCACGAGCTAGGAGGAGGACGGATCGCGCCCAACGCGGAGATCCTTGAAAGGATTCAAGATGCACCGCGACCAGTGACGAAACGCCAAGTCAGGTCATTTCTTGGATTATCTGGGTACTACCGCGAGTTTGTACCAAATTACGCGGATCTTGCTGCTCCACTGGTGGAACTCACGAGGAAAGGAGCACGAAATGAAGTCGAGTGGGGTGAAGACCAGGAGGAGGCATTTGAGGAGTTGAAGAGGTGCTTGTCGCGGTCGCCTATCTTACTGGCACCAGATCCCGAAAAGGAGTTTGTTTTACGTACAGATGCGTCTGATGCGTGTTTGGGTGCGGTACTGCTGCAGGAAAGCGAAGGCTTGTTACACCCGGTGGCATATGCTAGCAGGAGGCTGAGCAAACCAGAGAGGAATTATGCCACCATAGAAAAAGAATGCTTGGCAATTGTATGGGCCGTCGAGAGATTTAGGCTGTTTCTACATGGACGGAAATTTCGAATTTAGACTGATCACCGACCGTTGGAATTTCTGAACAGGGCGAAGCATGCTAACAGCCGCGTGATGCGATGGAGTCTGGGGCTGCAAGACCAGAATTTCCACGTAGAATATATCAAGGGATCTAATAATGTTGGAGCGGACTTCATGAGTCGCGTTGAGGTCTAAAGCGGAGTTTCCTTTCTTTTTACGACGCGGAACGTGGAAACAGATTAAGTAATGTGAACAGTGAACGTACGTTTCGTATGATGTCAACATAGGATTCTTGTTTCAACAAGAAAGGAAGGGGGATCTCGTTTTGTATTTTAGTAAACGTGTTTTTGGCAAATTTAGTGATCAAACGTGAGCCTTCTAGTGGTACGGAAAAGGTTTGAAATGATTGAAAAGTATCTGGGGAAATGAAAAAAAAGTATTTTTGTTAATTATGGAAGTGTGAACTTCGTGGAAAACGATTTGTTTTGACTTTATGCATGCAGGTCGAACACGTGCGCGGGTGCTGCAAGAAAGTGACTGTGTGTGCGCGTGTATGGCGACAACGACCATGTATCAACGACGTCGTCACGTGCAGAAATCTTCATGAGATGAAGTTTTTAAAAGTTGGGGGAAATGTCACGATCCTCATGACAATGATAGCGCCGCGGCCGCGATCGAAGACGAAGAAGATTCGGAAGAGCACGAGGTGGGGAGCGCGCGACCGAGCAGGCAATAGACCCTTTACGAAAGTCAGTCTACCCACCTTGTGCAGAGCCAGACCCGACGCTCTAATGGCGGAACTACACTGTTTCTCCACACCAGAAAAATCGAACGTCTTCGAAAGCATAGAGCAGAAAAAGGAAAAGATGTTGGTCCTTTCAGGTCAGCTTCGATGCACGGAATCGAGGGTGTTTGATTTAGCCGCGCATGATCTCCTATCACCGCCATTAGAGCGGCAATAATGGAGCTTTTTATACTGCCACAAGAGGACTCTGACTTTTGAAAAGGGTCTATTGGAAGCGAAGCACGGACCGCGACGGTCGGCCTGCAGATCGCTCAAGAGCTGCCACGGTCAGCGGAACGTTGAGTCTAGCGATCTGGTCGACGGAACCTTCGCTGGACTCCGACATCTGGGACTGCCATGCACAGCTCCCGGCCAAGTCTGCGCTATGACCTCCAACCATCGAGGCGAAGACAACCGCCTTCACGAGGACAGGCCACGGAGGACTCGTGAGCGAGATTCACCTGATGTGTCTATGACTTGACGGAACTTTGATTAGTGTTGAGACGCGTGTAGAGATTTCTTTATTGTACTCTTCTTTTTTTTTGGTAATTCTCTCTTTCTTTTCTGACGGTTAACTTTTATCTTTCTTTCTCATTAGAGTTCTTCCGCTCGCTTAAATAATATTACGTATTTCTCATTCCCGATACTCTCATGGTCTTTGTCTTCTTCTGCCAACGGGCGGTGACAATCATAACCCTAATGAGCAATCTGAATTCCCCCGTCTCAACTCCACCGACGCCGGCTTTTCTGCGACGCGAGCTCCTTAACGCTACCGGCTTAAAAAGAGCTAAAGTTTATTGTGCTTAGGAACTACGTCCCGGTCAGGACGGCCCGTCCAGCGTAAGTCTCGCGGATGGATTCAGCAAGGGGGCCAGTGCTTCGCTGCCTGGGGATGAACCAGCCGTTTCCCCCACGAAAGGGTGTGGGGGAAATCGGGGGAAGAGTGGATGAGTTACTGGCCGGCGTGTACATAAAGTGTTTGCAAGATTAAACGTTACCTGTATTCAATTACATTTATCGGTAACGAAGTAACCATTTACTGTAGTTACTTTTCGAGAAAAAAAACAGTATTCCGTTCTGTAGTCACTTTTCGAGAGAGTAGCGATTAACGTTATTTAGTCACTCTTGGAGGGGGACGTGTACGACAGAAATTACACAACTTGGTTGTTACCTAAGGCAGAGCGTTTCAACCAAAAATCTCTCTCGGCTAAAACATACAACAAAATAATATCAGCAACCAGCTAGCACATCAGAGGGAGCAGACAATGTTCTTGTTTTTAATGTCAGTGTTTTACGCACATGCATAACAGGCGCTTCCACGGCAAAGCTAATCCCCAGTTGATTCTTCCAATCAACATATTGCGCAATGTGGAAATTAAGTATGTAACAAATATCGGAAGGCGGCTACTGCTACAGTGAGACGACAAATTTAGTGTCGTTTCATTTTAAGAAGGAACGGATTCATTTTTAATAGGAGTAAGGAGTAACCTACCAAGTTACTACTTATTAAACGAGTAACGAAGAAGATAATTTATTTACTTGTTTAAGTAACGTGTGCATGTCTAATTACAGGACCCGTAGGTGTGATTGATGGAGAGGTATACACCGCGCTTGGGGCAGAAGTGAGGGAGCCGGGACGTTTGGAAATTTAAAGTAGATGTGCTTTGATGAAAATATGTTGTTCTGGAATGCCTGTCGACGGTGGCTCGCTTTTGCGATATAGTCTTTGGAGTGTAAGGCGAAATGGTCAGCTCTTGCCATCGCCCAGGGCTAGCTAAGAGCTTTTGCTTCACCTGCCAAGCAGACGCCCGTCCATGGCTAGACCGGCCGCTTACCCGTCAAGAGCTCATATTTGCTCCAAGTGTCCTGCTCTAAATGTCCAAATCGTGCAACTCTCCCCTCACTTCCCTCGAAGGAGCGAAGGAAGTGCGGCGCGAGGCGTCGAAATGGCGCACTGTGCTGTTCGAGGGACATTGAAAGGATAAGCTTTGATTCTTGGGTTCATCTACGTCAGGCGAAAATGTCCGGCGGCCGGTACTATGTAGGCGCTTTGGACACGAGGCAGCAGGGACCGCCGGCACGGGTGTGCATTTTGGTAGGGAAACCAGAACTAAGTTAAAAAGGCTTCCCTATCGAGTAAGTTTTCGGAACACTGTATATCTGCGGGTGCATAGCATTTCTTTACAAGAGCGCTGGTCTAGTTCTTTTTGACGATCACCTGAATGCATGGTACATGTTGAAACCATACCTTAAAATTCACAAATAAAAATAAATTTAAAAAAAATTTAGCCCTATTATATCAAACGTAATTGCCCATTAGCAAAAAACCAAAATACATAAAACTTCTATTGTTCGATGCGTACTTCTCGTGGGAGCGAGCTTGTCAGCTTACCTTCACATTCTGTATACGGTCCTCCTTACTTCCTTCATTATAAGTACTTCATAGTTACACCCACATTTATGATCTGAGTTTGACTCTCCCAAGTGCGAGTTCAAATCTAAGCAAACTTCGGATTTTACCTTCTTGTTTGTAACAATCAATCCGAAGCATTTGTGAATCTTTATAGCGAGATTGCATGATAGCTCCGCTCTACGTTTCTTGATTTTGCGTCACTATTATCAATTCCAGTTTTCGTCTATACTCGTTTTCACCTTAAGAACCGTAGTAAAAAAAATACGGCTTCTAGCAGAGCATTACTAATTTCCTTCTTTGTGCTGAGAATTGAGATATATGTAGGTGCATTTTAGATTAGATACATGTTACTTTATCAAGACGTAAAAGTTTCAAACGCCAAAAACATCGCTTCTGCCTCCACAACCAAATCTCGTAAGAACTACTTCGTGCAGAGTAGGGACATGGAGCAGAACTTCCTTTTTTCTTGAGGTGAAAACTGGTATAGCTATAAATGCCTACCACCAGCTAATTGGCACCTCTTCAATCGATGTTACTTTCTTCAAATAATATTAGAGCAAACATAAATGAACTTTGACCTTCTTTATTAATCATATTTTATTGCATTTTGGGCTTTGCGATGCTTACTTAATATTCTGACGAAACAATAGTCTCTTAGAGGTTAAGACAACTTAAAAAAAACTCATTTCGTTTCTTAGGTTGTCAGTGATTAAAGAGGGAATTCCTCGTCATCACAATTTTAGAGTAAAACTTACCTGTTTGAAGATTTTCGTTTGCCTAAACCAACAAAACGCCTTTTACAAGGGGTCAACAAAATATTTTTTTAACGTTTACTCGCAAAGAAAGTAAAGTTTAGAACTTTTTTTATTATCATTTCTATTATTATTTCGAAAACTTCTTTCCATTCACTCGGTTGTGGTTCACGAGGTTTCTTGCTCAAAAGTATATTTGGCCAGGCTCGTGGTGCGCTGCGCTAATTTTTTCTGAGTGGTGGAGAGGTGGTAGCTCTGAGCTACGTTTGCTTGGAACAGCCCCAATGCCTGAAACGTGACGCCTCTCCCGTCTCTTGTTAGGTGTTCGTGTTCCAACCCTTCCACGTTATAGTACCTCCATATTAGCTTCTTGTCGCGCGTTTCAAACAATGCTGCAACGTAACCCTTCAAGAAGATGTCTGCCACCCACGGCACCACCTGTAAATATACAACATGATGAAAACAAAGATATATTGCATGACCCAAGTTTCGGTTAAATCATCACCGAGGTACGGCGAAATTTTGATGGTCACTGATTTGCCTCAAAATCGAATCAACACGTAAATATACAGGTCTAAACCAGTAATACAAATTACAAGTCACATCAAAGTTTCTTGTGTAGCTACTGCATTTTTAAGTTTGGTCTGAGTGGTTAAATCTGGGGTAACACTGCTTACACATCATACAAAAGAGAGCCTGCAAACAGATTCGAACGCGAGTCACCGCGAGATCTGTGCTTCAAATGCCGCATTGCAATGACTTACAAGAGGAAGCTTGGCACGCGGCATTCAAACCACGGATGTTGCGGTGACCCGGGTTTCCAGATTGTCTTTTGTATGAGCAGTGTGACAACGACTTTACGCATATATTTGTCTATTATACCTGAACTCTTTTTTTGGGGGAAGTGCGGATTAAAATACCCTAAGTATGCGAAGAAAAACAAATGCTTGGAGAAAGCACATTTTTGTGAAATCACAAAAGCTGCAAAACAAAAAAGTAGCTTTCTCCGGAAAATCTAACTTCGAGAAAACTGAAACGCAGTTATGAACCCACTAGCTCTGACCCCTATGCGTAGCTGCACAGTTAAACGTGGCGGTGGTATGTCTTCACTGGACTATCAGTTATAGTGTCGGGAAACATTACTGACGCTAAGAAAACCTACAGATCATCCTGGTTACGAGCATTCTTACTGTGCGTGCGATTCAGTTGACTTTTTTTTATTAGGCTAGTTTGAGACAGGCGGTGTTTTGTTTTACGTTGAGAGCTACGCGACGGTTGATTTTAGATAGTCAGAAAGGTTCAACTGTATCTGTAAACATTTTCTTTTTCAGAAAACAATTAAATTATATTGTCATTGGTTTTAGGAATATCATATTCATAATATCGAAATTTTTACTACTCAGCCGCACAAGTAATTTCATTTTACACAGTTCCAAGATACTCCGGTTACACCCGCAAAACACTCAGCGTTTTTGTTGGCCACAGGGGAAAACTGACTTAACATCATGCAACGAGAGCCACGATAGCTCTTGACAGCTGTCTCAGTAAAATAACTTCGGTCTAAGAAAGACAATATTTACGGCAATGAGGGAAGCTCAATTCTCCGACGATGTCCTTTGTACGCAACATCAGCCATGTTGATCAAGACCGGGAGAACGCGAAAGTCCGTAACAATGACTTTACCATGCCAGATGTGAATTCACGGCACGACCAGCCTTGGTCGTGTTGTGAATTCACGATTGGCGAACTTTGGCGTGAGGTTTCGTATTAATGTTCATAATTGATTTAACGACTTTTGGGGGCGGGGGGGGGGGGTCGTTTAATGAAATACATATGACACCTGACCATTATTTGGCCCTCTCTACGTGATGAGCGCAGAAACTAAGCAACTTCCGGATTTTACAACACCATTCTTTTAACGCGTTTGCATGTAGATTAAACTATAGACCTTTCCAAACAAGAGTGTGTAGCCGGGGCCATTTTGAGTGTTCGAGCGTATGGCGCGTGCTTTGCTCGCTTTCTAAAGCGGCGAACGCGCACGTGCTGGGCTGCGAAGATCGCGCGCTGGACTGTTATTCTGCAAACATTAGAAAGGTCTATATGGGCTCTGATTCTCTGCTTCTTCTATAATAATGTTCCATAGAAAGCAAAGGTTTCGCCGGTCATTAAGATAAACTGCGAGAATACATACGGAAGGTGGCTTCAGTGTGGCGTCTTGATGTGCAAGTAATTATGAAAATATTTTTATTGCGCACTTATACATTTGGGCTGACTTTATTTCCGTCATTTCACAGAAAAGTGGCTCAAACAATGGTGTCGCTATATGCCTAGTGTGCTCTTTTTGTAAGATAAAAAAAAACATGGATAAAAAAATAGCAAATCGTACGCACCACCTGTGCTTCGTTGACATACCACTTAGCTTCGATAGTGGCTTCAGGAGGTATATTGATATCTTGTTTAATCATCTGTCGCGTAGTGCGTGTTTCGATCCTGGTAGATCCAGAGCTTGTCGTCAGTGTTGTCGAAAATTCTGTCGAGAACTGATAAATTAGTGGCACGTTTATACTGAACTTGACTTGAGCCGTGAAATCTGCTCCCCTGGTAACGGACCACGTGTACTCGTCTTCGTGTTCTACTTGCTCCGATATGTACGCCTTACCCTCCTCGCCAGACTGGTTGTTGTGAAACATCTGTACGTATACAGCAGACAACTTTAGAGACTCTACTTTGACGGCCTGGTAGACCACCGGGCCGACTTTGATCTTGACTGGTGGGTACCTGCATCGAAAAACTGTACCGTTATGCTGCGCTCACACCGAGTACAAAATACCACCTGGAGACTCCGTCTAATGCCTCCTTTTTGAATGGCGGTACTGTGACACGGGACCTAAACAAGCTGTTTTGCAAACAAGTTCACATATGTACGAAGCAGACATTCTTCGAGTATGCTTAAGGAGATCCCGCATATAATTCTTTCACCATGTTTGCAGCGACCACAGCGCCCTCTGTATGATGTACGAGCAGTGTGATTGTACCTTTAATCTGAAACCAGATAACACTTCACGGCATGGCTACTCCTTTCCGTCGCTTTAGATAAGATTAATCTCGATAGTGCCCGCCAACGCTATTAAAGCTAGAATCAGCGATAGCTTTTATTCTTCGCTATAATGTCGTTCTTCAGATAATACCTTGTGTCCCAGATGGAAACGAGAATTAATAGTAAGTAATTATGGCAATAAATATATCGTTAGTTTTTTATAGCCTTCAGGAACAACTCTGCAGTGCTCGTGCTCGCTCACTTAAAAATAAAGTGATAAAAAACACAAAATACAAAATGAAAACTGAGTCCACAAATCCGACGCACCTCTACCAAGCATACAAGAAAGAGCAACAGCACTCAAAGACAACACGAAATGTTGTAATGTTAATAATACCAAATAAGAAAGCAGAATCCATGACGTTTGTGAGACTGTTTTCTTAGCACTGCGAACGGAGCACAGACCGCTGTTCAGATGTAGACACGCTAGAGAAATTAAGTAGCTAAATACCTTTACTCGTTACTCACTAAACTAGTAACGAAGTTTGGTACTCCCGCTATAAAAATTATTTTTGAGTTTTTATTGAAAACGTCTTGACTTCTTGTTGACTCTGATTACTTTTTCTTGACTTTGACTTGATGCTGACATGGTCAAGTGAAAGTTTGTTGACTTCTAAAATTGTTTTTTGATGATTTTCTTCAGCCAGAGTCAAAAGAAAAGCTGTTAAGTTTCTATTAACTTGGCGTTGAATTTTTTCTTCTGTCTTCCTGATGACAACGTCATCAAAATGACTGTAGATGTTTTGTTTACTTCATGTTGAAAATCTTCAGTTGAGTCTCTATAGCCAGTGTCAATAGAAAAACTAGTCTGTTTACACTTTTTGAACATAATACACCTCGACTAGATGTCAAATTCACTAAGTTTCTCAATAGTCCCTGGCAAAGTGAGAACGGTGGAGAGCAGCTTCAGTTGCTCTGTCTCCAGCGCGAGCCTACTATCCTTGACAACGCTTCGGCGTTCGTGCTCCTCGAGCGCGCACGTGCAGTCTAAGCACGACGGAAGGCATGGGGCGCGTGCTGGAGGCCAGGCGTTCGGAAGACACGCCCTGCCATTCTCACTTCGGGACTTTGGTTACTTTAATAACCATATTAAACTAGTCAACTAGTAAAGAAAAGCAAAATAACTATTTTAAAGTGGAGAAACTTCCTTGACTCACTTCGTTCTGAGGGGTGCAATGCTGAGAAGCGATAACATTTCTGCTAGGAGCAGTTTTTGTCGATGTTTTAGATACTGCACCGAATCATTTCATTTCATTTCGTTTCATTTCATTTATTAGCCATTCATTCCATTTATTAGCCATTTCGGTTGGAGTGACACGGACAAAAGGTGAAAAAATTCACCTTACTACGTTCCCACTACCCACACAGGTTTCAGTGCGACGCAGCAAAAAATAAAGAATTAAACGAATAAAATATATATATATATATAATTACAATAAAAACAAAGCACAAGCAGTGTGCAAAAACAAACAACCGCTCTCACACACACAAAAAAAACACAATGCACGGCAAAAAAGAGGAGTAATGCAACGCAAAGGAACACAAGGCTATGCAAAACAAAAATACTTTAAAAAATTCACTTCTACGCAAGGTTCTACACGTTTCCAAAAGTAAAGGTCTCTATTTTTTTCTTAAAACTATTAAGAGATGTTGCTATTTCTGCCATATCGAAAATTTGTGGATGCCTATTGAGAAGTTGTGTAATTTACTGTGTTAAAGGGACACTGACAGGGTATTTATGCTCGCGGGGGTTTTTAGTTGTACGTGACATATGAGAACCCAACTACTCAGAACAGAATTTGCGGCTCGAAATTTGGTTTCTTTCCGCCCGAAAACCGCTGATCGAGAACTGGCCGGTTTGAGTCGCGCTCACTCTCTTTTCCGGGGATCACGGGCCGTTTTATAAGGTTTCAACGCGACCACCACATTAAATCGAAGTCATGGGCCATTGAAGGCACACAGTCAATATTAAAAATAGAAACAAAAACATACGAAACCCATTTTTTTGTGGCTCCCAAATAGCTGCAAATGCGATGATTGAAAAAAGAAAAAAGGTAGCACACACAACCGGAAGCATTCTGTACGTTCACTGTATAATTCTCAACATGACGTCGTTTCGCGTGGGTGTAGCGGATGGCAGCGGACGATGGGCGTGGGACCTCTACTTCAGAACTTTCGTTCACGGCACCGGTGAATTCTGTCTTCCTTCGAAAGAGAAATTTTGGACCGATCAAAAGAACTAATATTCATCCCTTACGACACGCCCGATTAGCAAGCCGATTGTACGAAGACGTCGCTGAGCCGTCGTCCCTTCTCGTGGCTGAAGACATCGCTCGGTCAAACGTCAAGCACGAAATGCGTACTTCGACTTGAATACGCACGCGTACGGTTTTTTTACGAGGTGCGAGTGTGGCCTATGCGTGGTGCTGGCCGACTTCAAACTGGGAGTGCATGTACTGGAGGGAAATCGGCAGCAACCTTCCGACATACAGTCGACCGGCTGCATTATACGCATGAAAGAGTTTCTTCGGTAGCTCAGTGGAGCGGGCACGGGTTCGATCCCTGGTGTGGATGTACCATTTTTTTCCCAAGGATTTTGCGGCGTGTACATAACTTATTTTACAATTATCACTGAAAAAAACAATTGTTGTGTAAGATACGTCGCTGAACTAAATTGTATGGGATCCAATTGTTGACACCTGCGAACTCAATGTTGTCATTTTCCACAAAATGCAAGGAGCATATATGAAGCGGGTAGCGTCCACTTTCCGAGCTTCGCGTAACTGTTCTAAGGAATTGCAGCCAGCCATTGATCCCGACCCGTTGATCTTTCGGAAGCGTGTGCACTCTGCCGCACAATGCCACTTTCAGATGCAGGACATATGAGGCGGCTCTTCACGCAACATCTTGGGAGTATTCTTTTCGGAGCCGATCACGGGAATTCACCACGGGCACTCACTACTTATCGCCAACACCTAAATGTACAAAACAACTCATCCTGGAGTACAGAACAGCGAGCGGAACAAACATAACTGCAAAGGAATCGAATGGCGAACGGATCCCTACGCATTTCATGTTCTACGTGCAAAAAAAAAAAAAAAAAAAAAAAAAAAACGCACGGCCGGGTGTAGCCACGTGACTTCCGCCACTCAATCTCTCCTCTCCACTTCTTCGTGTAATGCGGGAGTTCCGGTTTCGGTTTCGAGCAGCTGCGTTTTCTGGCTTTATTAAAAAAAAGACGTGACTCTGTAGCAAAATATTATGTGGGTAGTATTCCAACACCATAATAAATCGCCTGACAAAAAAGGAAAAAAAAAATGGGGGGGGGGGGGGGGGGGGTGTCAGTGTCACTTTAAAGTTTGATCTCCGTAGTTCGTGCGTATTTTCTCTGTAACATGTATTACACAACTTAAGTTTGAGGGAATGTCTTTTAAAGGAAATTGACATAAAAAAAATTCCTGCTGTTCTTGAAATAATCATAAATTACTTTTGAAAGCTTGAAGGTGATTAGCTACTGAACAGTGAGCAAACTATGCTTTTGAAAATAAATAGAGGTATATTCATTATAGCCCAAGCACTCGATGGATCTCACAGCCTTCTTTTGAAGCATCAGTATTTTATCAAAGTTGCTTTTTGATGTGGTTCCCCGAACTAGTGAGCAGTAATGTATACGAGAGTGAATAAGTGCATTTTATATTTGACGCTTTGGCCATATTGGTAATAAATTTCTTACTTTGTGCATAATGCCGATTTATCTGGAACACACTAAACATAACTTGCATATATGAGTTGTCCAAAATAAGTTTTTATAAAACCAGACACCCACAAGTTTTATAGATTTAACTTTTTCTAGTTGGTACGAATTAAATCTAATGCCAATGTCAGTGGTAAGTAACTTATCTTTCGCCCTAAACACAATATATTTCGTTTTTGAAATGTTCAACTCAAGCTGGTTTGTAATTAGTCACGTAGATAATTTATTTGACCATTCACTGGACGTATTTTCAAGTTGGCGGAGATCAGGGTGCGAAAAAAGGACGTTCGAATCGTGTGTCTATAATACGACTTCTGCGTTTTGATAAATATTATCTATATCATTAATATAAACAAGAAACAACAATGGTCCTAAAATAGAACCCTGCGGAACACCATATGCTATTTGTTTAAGATCTCATTTAACGCCGTTAAAAATGGTGAATTGTGACCCACAGATCAAGTAACTATAGGCGCTAGCTCTGGCACTTTTCCTCTTTTTCCGTACAATTTGAGTTTATTTAAAAGTATTTGCTGCTTAAGGGAGTCAAAAGCTTTTTGAAGTCTATTAATATTCGGATTGCGCATTGTTTACTTTCAATATTGGTAACATTTTCATTTTAATGTTAACGCGTGCCATTTCCGTTTACTGATTCTTTTGAAACCCCAAACTGCTTTTCTGTAATTATTTTATGCTTTGTAAAAAGGCTAGTCAATCGGCTGTTTATTATGTGTTCCAAAATATTTGAACACAGATGTGATACTGAGATTGGTCTATAATTGTTGAGGTCGCTTTGTGCACCAACCTTATGTATAGCATAGACTCGCGCTACTTTCGTTCGGTTGGGAAAACAAGCTGTTGACAACGGTACGTTACATACAGGGTCTGTCCCAAAAGTTCCCGGAATTGTTTTTTTTTATAAATCAT